TCCCGTTGATGGTGATTGGCGCTGGATGTTTCTGCTGTTTTTGCTGTTGATGTTGGTTGGTTGGTTATTGTTATATCCCCCGTCTTGTCTATGTTCACTTGTAGTCCTGTCTTTGCTGCTTCTTCGACCAGTTTGTCGGTTTTCGCTTGTAGGTCTTTGATTGCATGTGACATCAAACATAAATCAACCACGCGTGAAATCCAGGTCTTCTAGGTTCTTCCCGTCGATACCAGTTCAGGATATCCCTGTCTTCTCGTTTCCCACTCACTGTCTGACGCATAATCCAGTCAGTCCACCACAATTAGGAATATCATTGGTGATAATAAGCCAGCACCCTTGTCTGACTCCTGTGTTTACTCCAAACGCCTCGCTGAGTTTTCCGTTGTGGATCACTTGACATGTGTCGTTGTCGTACAGCTGTTGAATAAGGTTTATGAATATTTGGGGTACTCGAGTATTTACCAAATTACTTCGTGGTCAACGCTGAACTGTAGAAGGCCTTCTCAAAGTCTTTAAAGTTGTGGTGAAATAATTACCTTGAAGTGTGTAAATTGAGCATTTGAACCAAACTATAATTTCAGTCTACATACTGCCTTGGAAATAGTATAGGTAGAAATAACAAACATCAATAGTTGTTCAGACTTTTTTGATATTGTATTTTTGGTATTTCGTTAGGAAGGCACATATGTCAGATAATCATTGGAGAGAGAATCAAAGAGAAGTCGAAAGCTGTTTCATTTTAATTTGAGTCTTTTCAGTGGTGTGTATCGGTGACTGCATCAGACATTGAACTCAAGATCTCTATGTTATGAGTCAAGTCTTTTCTCTATTCACCTACTAGTGAGTAGGAATTCAATGGCTCATCAAATCTTAATTCTGTCCATTAGTGATATTGTACCACGACAAATACAGAAGAATGGCTTTACCCTGACATCGTAAATTCCATCAGTCAGGATTTCCCATTGAAACCTAAGGATGTTCATATAGTAGTCAACAATAAGACAGTGGCTGAAATGAAAAATTTTAATCTTTGTTTAGAATTCGAATTAATTTCAAGGAGTGAAATCATTTGGCCTTGTGACGTGAAGCTACTGGGTTCGATCACTGATGACATGATGGGTGTACCCTGCTGAAGAGTCATAGCCTAGGGCGGAACAGCAGTACAGCGCTGTTTCATTTCCAAAGACTCTCTAGATGACGTCGATTATTAACGAAATTAACATTCATAGTCCTCAACATCATCTCCTTAATGAATGTGCACTCCACAATATTGAAATATGTATGAAATGCAACAATAACACCGCTTACTTATCTCATATGTCTATACTATTATTTAACAGTTTCAGATATTCTAATAAATTATTCCCTCGCATACATGTATTTTATACACAAAAGTCGCCTACATCATGTGGTTGTTGTGCTCAATGTCATTTTCCCGCTGATACTTACTGTTGCTTGAAGGTTAACTTCACCATCGAAGTGATCTAAACAGGGTCGAATTCCCTGAGGATATACCTGGTTAGAATCTCTCCTCAGATGCCTGATTCATTTCGAACCACGTGATTGCTGGCTAGCTACTGGGTGAACTGTTAACGCCATATTATCATGTTCGCATTTCGCAAATTAATTTTCATTTTTCACAGTTCGAGGGAAGTGATTTTACGTGAGTGGCAGGCAACTACTCACATTGATCAATCAGTAGTATGCAGTGTTATAAGATTTTAGACCACAAGCATACACATATTCTCGGTAAACTCGCTTGAGGCTTACATAATAATACATCAGTCATAGACATTTGAAACAATGTGGATCAATACAGTCAAATATAATCAAGGAGAATACATGTAGATCAATAATAATAATAGTAATCATAAATTGTGAAACTAAGGATGAAATATGCACCTATAGCACAGCATGGTATTAAAAGTGCATTTAGTAACATAAATAACAATAATATGTTTTGTTATCCAGTGTCACCGGGCTAACTATTCTAGGTTGGATTTGAACGGCATGGAGGGGAGAGAGGGATCGACCAAACTATTTCTGAACAGAAAGATTTGGTCGTAGAGGTTTTATGACAACTACCTCAGTTATACTGGACAATCAAAGGTGTATAAGCTTAGGAAATTCAGCTGGCATCCAGGATAGATTATTAGAGCTGCATTTTCATAAGCCTTGTGCACCGTATCCACAAAATATGTGACTGACTTTACGATTCCTATACACAAACACATTGCACAGTGTTCAAAAAGACGATGGTGTGCTTTCTGAGTCTCTCCACAGATATAAAAGTCTCCAGCAGAGTAGTTTATATCATAAATATCCACTGAAGTATCATTGATATAAGAATAAAACTTGTGCACTGTGGTAGAGTGTAATTCCATTATGGGTAAGTTTTGTTTTGATAAAGTCTCACAGTGGTATACAGTAATGTTTACTGATGACGTTTCGAGCACAATTTATTGCTCATAATCATATCAAGGTAATCACACGACTTCCTAAATTCATTTATACTATTACCAATCAAATCAAGTGAAAATCAAGAGAAAAACAATGGAACTATATAAATGAATTTAGGAAGTCGTGTGATTACCTTGATATGATTATGAGCAATAAATTGTGCTCGAAACGTCATCAGTAAACATTACTGTATAACACTGTGAGACTTTATCAAAACAAAATTTACCCATAATGGAATCCACTGAAGTAGCCATATTTGGCAGCCTGTTCTCAGTCATCACTGAAAGTATACAATTAGTGGTGGATATTAGACGTAATCTTTCAGGTGTTATTATTTTAAGTCTTGGTGCCAGCTATTCAGTAGCTGTATTTTCTTTGTAGGATAAAATCATATATGCATATATCCTACTTCTGTACAGTTTGCAGGCATTTCTTTCCATGTGGTGTCATCACGAAAACTTCAAAAAATTCCTCTGGATATCCGTACTCACCTATCCTTATTTCGTCGTCAAGAGTGTCGGTTGTTTCATGTTGATGAATTTGAATAAATCAAGAACAACACTGGTTGGTGCAGAGTAATATGCTACCATCATTGTTTAGTTCGTTGGCTTCTCATCAGCCACTGCTTACAGTCTGAATAAATTATTATTATTAAATTCATGTATAGAAACGTTTTTAACACATTTTACATCGTGTAACATGACAGAAGGTTCCGCACTTAATGAACAGTGCTCAAAAAGCTAAGGAAGGAAGCTGAAGTTTAAACAAAATAAATGTATGCATGCAATGGCAAAGGTGTTATGTAATTAAGATCAGATATGCGTAAGATTCTGAGTGACTACTGAATTAGGTGAAAATGTCCTGAGTTTAATTCAAGTCACAGAAAAAAAGAGACAAGCAAAATTACACTTTATCAAAAGTGGAAGAGGTGGCGTGATATTAAAGCCAAAGATTACGTAATCAAATGAAAGAGACAATGAAGACATACAGTTACCAGGGTGGGTAAGGCAAGACTAATAACCTCTTCTTTCTGAACATATAAATCTGATTTCAAGTGTGTGATAGAAATTGTTTCGGCAAACTTGAGGAGAATCCAGCTTCTTTGTTTATCGATAATTTTTAAAGATTTCTCGATTTCCACCTCATGACCCGTGTCGAGGAGATGTCTGATAATAGCGCTATTATATGAGTTTGTTTCTTTGAGACATAAACTTTTCAGCAAATAATCAGAAAATCGCAGATGTGCCCTTCTTCTTTCTGTTCTCCCAATATAACTACACCCACAGTTGCAGCTACCATGAAAAGTGTACATGTTGAATTTTTACTGCATTAAAGAGCATGTTGTTCGATAGACGGGAGCCAACTTGGCTAGCTGCAGGATAGGCTGTGGCTAGCGGCGTACATAGTCTACTGTTGAACACTGCTGCAATGTTTTCACCTATAAAGTCGAGTTGAATGAAGGTAAGCTTTCTTCCTACTGTGATTTGTTTGATGTTTGAGCCTTCATATCTCCCATATTTGTTAACAAATGTTTGAGAATAAGCGTTGTGTAGATTTTTATAGCACGGAACATTGGGTAACTTATAAGATTTTGTTTGTACACGCAAGGATTATCTGCACAACACTTCACCGAAGTGAACACTTCACATACATACTCTAAGTTTCCTTAATAATTCAGTTTTATCAAATATTCGATGAACAATAAATTTGATTTCGAAACATTATAAATCCACATTTTTGATTATTTCTATTGTGCAAACCAAAAATTCCAGTATACCTTGCCATTTTTTTTCATCGAGTTTTCCTTTAGATATGCACACAATTCTATTTTGACATTCCTTATTCGTTGCTAAATTACAAATACTTACAATACCCTATTTATTACTGGCATCACATACTACTTACCTAACTACCTACCAGTTTAGTAGTCATAGTTTTAAAATGGTTATTGGACAAATCTTCATCAAACAAAAAAGAGAAAAGATAACGATATTGGATGAAATCAAGAAGACTTCCCAACAGTTTGCACTCTGAATTGAATTGGTTGGGTTTCTTTGACATTTGTAATACTTTGGTTGTTGATTAAAACGGACACAAACACGCATTCACAGGTTAGTTTTCAGTGTAGCACAATTCTGGATTGTTCGTGTGTGCGTGCATGTGTGCACAAACTGACAGCATATATATATATATATATTTATGAAACTAAACAACACAACACACTTTGTTCAACATGTTACAACACAGAACCAACTACCTCTCTGTGTGTAAATAGATGTGTTTTAAAGAGAATGTACAATATGCCATGCTAGGTATTGTAAAAAATTGTATAAAAATAGGTGTAACAACAGCTAACAGTTTGTACTACATCTCATTTTGGAATTAATTATTGTAAAAATATCCCATTAAAATGTTAACTTGTAACTGACATGTACACTCAAAATGGATCTTTTACTAAACTTCGTTACATTGAAATAAACATTACCATTTAAAACAGACAATAAAATTGCGAAAATATTTTTAAAAAAAAACAAGTGATTATGCCTAAACAATTACATGGTGATACTACCACTACCACCGCGGCAGCTGCCGCCACTCCGATGTCAACTTCCGATACCGTGAATAAACTATCTGGATTTAATTTACCAAATAAAAAATGGAATGTACTACGTACCGGTGTTATTTGGGCGCAACGTTTAAAATCCGTGAAAGCTACTAAAAGTGATGGTAATATCTCACATTTGAATAATAACAGTGGTAATCAAATTAATAAAGATTGTGGTGTGCGTGCAAGGCTTACAAATGAGGATTACAAAAATACTACTACCACCAGTAATAATAATAATAATAATAGTAACAATAATAATAATGTGAACATATTTGCTCATTTAGCACAGCGTGCTGTGTCGAATACAACAAAATTAACTGAAAAAGATTATGAATATACTGATAAAAAACAAAAACGTGGTGTGATTAAACATTGTTCGTCAGCTAAACAGTTGACAAAGTAAGTGAACTTAAGTTTATTGAATTGTTGCCATTTTTTATTCAATTCTTTTATGTCATCAGCGGAATATTGGGTTACAAGGTGCTAGCCTGACGCCCAGCCTTCCCTTTCAAACTGGGATCACTGGGCTCGCTAAAGACAGTATTTATGTGGGTGTGTCGACCTGGGATTGAACCCTGAAACGCTTACAGCGCAGTTGGAGAGCATTCTGCTATTGAGCCACTGACGAAACTTGAATTGTCGTCTGCTGCTTAAAAGGTATTTTCAATGATTTAAAGTGGAGACTAGAGGTTACGGCTTTCAGATGTACGAGAACAGTTTCAGAGACATGAATATTTTCAATGGGAGTAAGTTGTGCTTTTTTTTCCGTTGTCTACCATCATGAATAAATGTTCCCATAGTAAAGTTTAGAATAACAAATTTAAGCGAATGTAACTGTTTTCAATTAGATGTCATCAGACTTAACTCTAATATACAACATGACTTTACAAATAAATATTCACTTAGGAACGAATCACGTTGTTTTGTCAATAAGATAATAAGATTGTGCATACAAATTGTGTCATCAATCATAATAACAATAATCAACAACAAGGATGGAAAAGTGAGGCAGTCTGTGATAACAGGAATGATGAAAAAAAAACAGTAGGATTACACAAACAAATGTTCAGGTAAACGTAGTAGTCGATAAAGCCTAAGAAAAAAACAAATGGGCTGATTAAATAATGTTAGATTGTAAGGGGAGTAAATAAGGCAGGTCTTAATGAAGCTTTGCTAAGATTAAGGAGTGATAAGAAAACGGTTGAAAATATGAATAAAGGGTTGTACAGAGGTCATCAGTTCGCTAAGTATTAGCAGGCATGCAAGAGAGGGATACTAATTATTGTTATTGTTTCCTTTAGTTCCTAGAGGAACATAGGGCTTCGGCTACACGTCCGCATTGTGTTCGGTTCTCTGCCAACGTTTTCACCTGGCTCCATGTCTGCCTACATGCTTTCCTCTTGTCGTTTAATGACCTCCTCCATGTCACCCTACTCTCGCACTGACCACCAACTCGCCGCTACCCGTTTGGGTTCCGCTAGAGCCTGTTATGTTACTTGGTGATTTTCTCGAAGAATGGCCAATCCACCAAACTCCATTTCTTCTTCCTTATTTGTTGCGCATTCGATGCCTGGTTGGCTGGTTCACTGCCAGATATCGCTGTTACTAATCTATTCTGACCAGACATCTGATCTTGAGCGAAGTATTGAGAGATGACAGCTGTTGATGGAAGTCTGTAGTTTGTTGGAAGTAGTCTTCATGAAGCGGTGGCCAAGTCTGTGATCCGTAAAGTAGCACGGATTTCACAATGGAGTTGAAAATCCGGATTTTGTTTTACATGCTGAGTATTTTTGACCTCATCACAGACTTGAGAATAATGAGAGCTTGCCTTACTTTTCCGATCGTCCCTTTGATATCCTGATCACTACCGTCCGCCTGTAGCGGAAATGATGCTTCTCAAGTCAGTAGATAAAGGAGATTGCTTCTTTTAGATTTCTCCCATTTACGCTGGCTGGTTGTTGTCTATTGATGTTACTGCAGCTGTTGGCCGGAATTCTTCATCATCTGAGTCTTATCTTCTCGGGATGCTTCTTCTATCACAAACTTGTTGCTTTTCATCAGGATATCTAACAGTTTGTGGGAAATCGGACATATATCATAATCGGCGAAGTCAAGATCCTCCAAGTTTTTGTTTGTGTCCATGTTATGCCTGTTTCCTCGCTGTTCGCCGCTGCCTGTCTGTCGAATTATCAAGTCTACCTCAATCAGGAAAATCATCGGAGATAGTAGGCAGCCTTTTCTTACTCCAGTCTTCACTTCGAAGGATTCTGAGAGTTCCCCGTTGTGGAAAGAGAGGGATAATGGCCGTACGAATTTCCTTTGAATACAGTGTTCAGGATTATTAGTTCGGAGGCCTACTGCCTCAGCTATCTTTAGTAGACGAATACAAAGTCTATTTAATTGAATTTTAAATTTTTCTGTCGATTGATTAAGCCGAAGTGCTCGGTCTCAGGTTGACATGTCAGCTTCTTGTGCAGATGCTTCGACGATTTCTGTAATGTAATTAGAAGTACCTGTGGAATGCAGGTACTTCAAGATGACCAGTCTCAAATAGGATGAAATGCGCATCCTGGATCCACTGTTATTGAGCATTCACTAATTACCTTCTAAATACGAAGTCTACTGAAAAGATTCGGTGGAATGCGACGAACTACCTTGAGTGCTTTTGTTTTCTCCACTACATGACCACTATCAACTGTAACTGAATGGACCTACGGATTGTTTTTTTTTCTGTCCTTTGCCAAACCACGATGACAGATATTAAGCAACACTTTAGCTAAGCTGTCTATTAGTAAGCCCAATATAAATATCATCTCAGGTGCAGTTGAACTGATAAATGCAAATATATGTGATTGATGTAAGTGATAGGCTAAACGTTCAAATAAAGCCTAGTAAACTGTTGCATACGATTTGAAAACTACATCAGCGATCTAATCTTATTATTATCGCTTTGAAAAGGCCTTCGACAGCGTCAATCGAGAGGTGATTTGGCAAATACTTCGCTAATACGGGGTCCCATCGACAGTTGTATGACAATGTTGCATGCCAAGTAATCCACAACAGGAAACTTACGGAAGCCTTCGAAGTGAGGACGGGAGTGAGGCAAGGCTGTCTACTGTCGCCAATGATCTTCCTGATTGCAGTAGATCGCATAATGAGACAGACAGCAGGCAATGGGAAAACACGCATAAAATGGACCCACACACACACAAAAAAACCTAGAGGATCTGGACTTCGCTGATGATGATATATGTCTGATTTCACACAAACTGGAAGATATGCAAGTGAAAAGCAACAAGCTGGCAGAAGAAGCATCAAAGATAGGACTTCAATTGAACATAGATAAAACAGAGGTGATGAAGATTCCTGGCCAACACCAACAAAAGTAACAACAACAGACAACAATCAGCTAGCATCAATCGGAGGAGCCTGAAAGAAACAACCTCCTTCACGTGCCTACCTGGAAAGCATCTTTTCAACTACAGGGTGAACTGACCAGGTTATCAAAGCAGAGAGGATCGGAAAAGCAAGAGAGGCATTCATTACTCTTAAGTCTGTGTGGAGGTCAACAGCACTCAGCATGAAAATGGAAATAAGATCTGGATTTTCAAATCCAATGTGAAGTCAATGCTACTTTACGGATCAAACACTTGGTCAGCTCGTCATAAAGAGTATCTCAAACAAACTACAGACCTCCATCAACAGCTGTCTTCTCTCAATACTTCGCTCAAGATCAGATGACCAGAAAAGATCAGCAACAGGGATCTGTGGCAGTGAGCGTACCAACCCAGCAGGAACCGATTGTGAAACAAATAGGCAGGAAGAAATCGAGATGGATTGGCTGGCCATACGCTGAGGAAACCAGCAAGTGACATCACTAGACTTGCCATCGCTCGAGTGGAACCGAGGCACTTAGAGGAGGTCATGTGAAGAGGAGATGAAAGTGTGTGGGCAGACTTGGAGTGGGGTGAAAAAGTTGGCGGAAACCTGAAGGCAATGGAGACGCGCAGCTTAAGCCCTATGTTCCTCTAGGAATGAAAGGATATAATAATAATAAATAATAATATGTACAAGCGATCACTGAGGTAGGAATCACCATAATCGATAAAGTTAGAGCATGACATCTTCACTGACTTGTAACTATGTGTTTATTCGCGTCCAGCCAGCTATAGGACATACTCACTAACTGAACGACACCTAATCAAGCGTTAGTTTGTAAGGTTTTGATTTGTCTCAAATTTGATCACAGATTGATGTCTAATAGAAAACTGCTGAAAACCAACGAGTACTGGACAGTTGCTTCATAGTGATTTGAGGATATTTCAGCAGTATGCATCCGCGATCCTGCAGGGGACTGGACACAGCATGTTCAAGTTTCTAGGTCAAACTCGTTCACTATCCAGCTAATTGAACTAGAATCCAACGGTCCATTAATTCTGTCTATACACGATTTTAACACAACCACCAATCAATGTCCTTACACTCAACCCTGAAAACTAACCCTCGTAAATAAAAATATTTCATTTCATGTTTAACTTACTTTTATTCTCTTCAAAATAAACTCATCAAAAGAATAAGAAAATTCTGCTGAAATTACTTTTGCATAAATTTACAAAAGAAAAATGATTTATTTATCTATTTATTTACACAACACTGATAAATTATTTATGCTTAAATTCCAACAAAATTAAAACTTTTCTGAAAAAACCGCTGAGAATGTTCAATATGTTCAATGGTTTCTTAGCAACCCCAAGCAAGCCTTTTGCTTTGAATTCTCTCAGTTGTTTAGACAAGTAAATAGAGGCTGTATTTTCTCCCTTTGAGCAGGTGATAATTTGAAAAATAATAATTATTTTCATTATAAGGATAATACTGAACAATTTGAATACTGTTTACGTGATTTAATTTGAATATTTTTACATGGGTATAGTTAGTCATTATGTGTGTCTTTATTAAATGGCTTTATTTTTAAAACAAAACTACAGAAGAGTCCATGTCAATGGTTAGACACATTGTTTGTACTTTTTGTCCTTTTTCCACTTAAGATATAAACAGATTTTGCTCTTGAAGAGAAGAATGGAAGTATGAAAAACGTAGAGTTTATTAAAATATTTGCTGTTATTATTCTTGGTAAAATTATATATAGAAAACAACCTACGGAGCGCTTTGAAAACGAGAAAAAGTATTATAAAGCATCTTTCTAGGAAGGGCACATCCTTTTCAGGTAGTGCTTAGCTAAATGTGACAAGAACTTGTCTTTATACAACCGCCACTGAAACACAGACGATAGAAACCACCAACGGGCAAACCTGTAAAGAGTGTATCTCGGTAAAAACAGGCCAACATGCTGTCCAAGAGATTCACAGTTTTTTATACTCTACACAAAATTAGTTATTATT